ACCCTGACTGTATACCTGACCGTTCAGAAAAAAATGACAGCATCTAGGGAAGTTAGATAATACAATTTCTCCAAATGCAGCCCATAGGTTAAGCTGATGTGGACACAGAAGTGAATAGCAAGGCTGAGACACAAGGCAAAGGACAAGAATGAGGCAGAGTGAGGAACAGTGTATGAGCTGTACCTTGTAAGTGACTTTTTTGGGAGAGACAAGGGACTAGGAAGCATTTAACAGCTGTAACAGTATTTATTTATGCAGTGTTTTATGAGCTATAAACTGTTAAATTAGGTAACAGTTAAAAGCAGAATTTGATTTCTAAAATTTTGTAGTTTTCTAAGTTTAAAAGCAACAGCAATTACTCAGGTGCTGGAATCTTTGTAAATAACTTGTGAGGAATGGTTTGCTTGGTGATGGCGTTGACTGTTCATATGACCTTGGTCTATAATTACAAGTCTAAAGTGTTTATTTTACTTTTCTAATAATGTACAAATGAATTCACATCTCAAGTTAGTGTGAAATTAAAAAAACCCTATAGATTATAACATGTTTTCATGTACATTAAAGAAAACATTTAGGTTTGCACTATTGAAGTGGATTAAAGCACTCTGGCACAACAAGCTGGACTAGAAAATACAGGATGACAATCAGTTGACAGGAAGCAGTATAACCTCCACACAAACCAAAGCTCAATAAACAGCAGACATCATATAATCTCTTTGCTAGCTTAGTGCAAACAAACTAGGATGAATGTATAATAAAAAGATAGTCTGGAAGTGACCCTAAAGACTGCCTCAGGATGGAATGTGATGCCTTCAGATGCCATTGCTGGAGGTGGTACTTGCTAGAAGCCTTAGACTTATTAAGGAGTTATTTGCTGTGACTGTTTTAACTGTGTGTCCACAAAGGAGTTAATCAGAGAGTTCACTATAGCAGCTTGAATCATAAATGATTCTTCGAGGCAACAGACTTATTGCCTCTCAAAAGGTTTCCTTTATTAAATCAAATGGCATGAAGTTCTGCCAATGGATTGTTTTGTCTTGTATTGTTTTTTTAAAAGAACCATACAAATGAAATGGCAGTGTGATTTCCCCAGAGCAATTTGTTTTCACTGGTTATGGGTTGAACTGAATTGACTGTCAATATTTTCCTGCCTAGATTAGTCTAGCATAGTTTTGAGGAGGAAAATGGTTTAAAAAATCTCTGCAAATGTATATGTTTTTTGCAACCTTCATTGTTAAATGTTAGAAGTATTACATAATTTAATGTATTTTTTTTTGTGGAACAGCTATGTAATTATTAAAGTAATCCAGCAAAAGTTCCCATCATGTTATAGAATTAGAGGGCCTTTATTCTGCAGCATGAAACAGCTGTTAGTGGGAAGTGAATAAAAATATAGCTGGAACTCCTGCTGGCTCCCCACATAACACAATTATCCATGAGCTATAAAATCAAAATTTGTGCAAATTTGCACAAGTTCTTGCTTTGTTTATTCAAAAATATAAAATATAGACCAGTGTATCCATTATTCCCATACTCTTCCCATCTCTATTTACAGTTGGAGGCATATCTAAAAAGAATCTAAGAGTAGTGTTCACTGTTACTCAGAGTAGACCTACTGAAGTTTATCTATTTTTATTAAAGTTTTTCTTGGTTTACAAAAGTACATACCTCTTTTCTCAAGTTGTACAGTCTTTTCTACAGATCAGTTACATTTGTTAAAGGACATTTATGTTTTCTAGATAGCTTCTCTTTCTGTTCGCTTGTTACGTTTCCTTGGTAGTGAGAGAGGTTGGGGGCCCAGGGTATGGTTAGTTGGCTGCAATGGGGTTTGTTTGCCTTTGTGAGGGGGGGGCTACCCATTAGATTAGTTTAGAACAGTGTTTCCCAACCTTTTTTGGGCAAAGGCACACTTGTTTGATGAAAAAAATCTCGAGGCACACCACCATTACAGCCCCGTGACGTCAGCGTGCAGCGTCGCGCCGGGAGGGACGCACGAAAGTGTAAGTTTCAATTTTTTCCCCTCCCCTCCTGTGTAAAGGGGAATGCACTCTGCTAAGTAAAGGCACTTGCCACAGCAGCGTCAACGTCACAGCACCCACCGGCACCCAAGAGAGAAGGGGTCTCAGCAGCCCTTTTGCCAGGAAGAGGAGCAAGAACGAGAGGAGGAGGAGGAGAGGAAGAGAGTCCCCCCCAAAAAACATTCTCCTTTTGATCTTCCTTATTTGCAATTCCTCATTGCAAAACAGCGGTTGATATAGAGCTGATTTTTTTGTTATTACAGTCCCCACCCCCTCACCTAGAAAAACACCCCCTGTCAATTTTATTATTATCATTATTATTATTATTATTCCCCGCCACTCTGGGAGGCTGAAGCCCTTTAAGGCTTCCTTCTGTCCACTCTCTGTGAATTACCTGCCCGGAGCGGGTTTCGGGGGGGGGTGCTCCCCGTCGAGTCTCGCCTTGCCCGGCGCGTGGCGGCCGCCCTTTCCCACACTCTGCCGGCTGCGCTGCCAAGCCCCGCGGCTCGGCCTGTCAGCGTTACCGGGCTCGGCGGGCGGTAATTCCCGAAGAAAGCCGGCGGCGCTTGAAGAGCTGGCAAGCCCCCATTTGCATGTCTGTTTTCCGCAGGCCTTGGAGAGGATTAAGTTCCCTCCTTCCTGCCGGGGAACCTCCAAGCTTTGGGGGTGGGGGGGGAGGAGGCAGCAAAGCGAGGCAGGAAGGAGAGCGTGGCTTGGCTGGGTGAGCTTTGGCAGGGGCAGGGAATGAGAGCCGCGAGGCGGGCGCTGCGGGCGGAAGCGCTGCCCGCCGAGCTCGCAGGCAGCCAGGCAGGCAGACGGCGAGAGCCCCGCGCTGGGCGGCCTCTCCTCGCCGCCGCCGCCCCGCCTCTCACCGCCCGACTCGCCCGCCTCCCTCCCACGGAGGTAGGCTGGTGTGTCGTGGGAGGGAGGCGGGCGAGTCGGGCGGCGAGCACACGCGGGGCGGCGAGCGAGCTCCCTCCCACATCCCATCGCCGCTCGCTTCGGCCGGCCTACTGGGCTGTCGCAGGCGGAAGGCCTGCGCATGCGCGAGGTTTTCGCGCCTTCCTCCAGTAGGCCGGCTGAAGCAAGCGGCGATGGGATGTGGGAGGGAGCTCGCTCGTCGCCCCGCGTGTGCTCGCCACCGCCGCCCTGCCTCTCGCCGCCCGACTCGCCCGCCTCCCTCCCACGGAACACAAGGCAACGTGTGCCGCGGAACACCGGTTGGGAAACACTGGTTTAGAAGCTGCAGAATTATGAGGCCCAGCTGTTTCAAGGCATTTGCTACCAACTATATTCAAATCTTACTAATAGTATATAAAGCCCTAAGTAACTTGGGGCTGTTGTTGTTTAGCCGTTTAGTCGTGTCCGACTCTTTGTGATCCCATGGACCAGAGCACACCAGGCACTCCTGTCTTCCACTGCCTCCTTAAGTACACTTGGGGCTAGTGTACTTAAAATATTTCCTTATACTTCTGCCCAATCTACAATCATTTGATGGTGCCTGGCTGTCCTCAACAAATTATGCATTTAGCACGGGAGCACCGGCATTATAGAACACTCTACCTAACATAATGAAGTCAGCATTGTCGGTAATGAACTTTGAGTGTCAGCTTAAGGCTTGGTTATGTCAGCAAGCCTTCTTATGAAAAAGATATATGGTTTTCATTTCATGATTTATAGTCAGATGAACCATTTTTGTAAACCGATTTCTTTAATTCATTCTGCTTGATTTTGTTATTTTGTTTTGGTTTTAATTGATATTCTCTACACCACATGCATATGTTTTTTATACAGTGGTGCCTCGCAAGACGAAAAGAATCCGTTCCGCGAGTCTCTTCGTCATGCAGTTTTTTTGTCTTGCGAAGCAAGCCCATTAGCGGCTTAGCGGATTAGCGCTATTAGCGGCTTAGCGGGCTTAGCGGATCACCTGATAAGCAGCTTAGTGGCTTAGTGGATCAGCTGTTAAGCAGTTTAGCGGATCAGCTGATAAGCGGCTTAGCGATCAGCTGTTAAGCGGCTTAGCGGATCAGCTGTTGAGCGGCTTAGCGGATCAGCTGATAAGCGGCTTAGCGATCAGCTGTTAAGCGGCTTAGCGGATCAGCTGATAAGCGGCTTAGCGGCTTGGGAAAAGGGGGGGGGGAGGGAAAAAAACCCTGCAGGAACTCGCAAGACATTTTCGTCTTGCGAAGCAAGCCCATAGGAAATTCGTTTTGCGAAGCACCTCCAAAACGGAAAACCCTTTCGTCTAGCGGGTTTTCCGTCTTGCAAGGCATTCGTCTTGCGGGGCACCACTGTATGTGTTTGTGGTATAGAAATGACTTGACAACAGCAGTAATAGTAGTACAGGTATAAGGATCTGCTTATACCAAGTCAGACCAACTGTTCAACTATCCCAGCACTGTCACCCTGACAACAATTCCTTATCTGGATAACAGGCAGCGATTTTTTCAGGCCTGCTGCTAACTAGAGATTTGGGAGGGACCATAGTACAGTGGCAGAGCACAAGGTCCCTGGTACAATCCACAAGTCTCCATTTAGAAAGATGAAATAGCAGGTGATGTGATAGACTTCTGCCTAGAACTCTGCAGCTAGTCAAAGCAGACAGTGCTAGGCTCAATGAACAAATATTCTGACTAGTATAAGGCAGCTTCCTGGGTTCTGATACTTCCTCTGAGATGTCACAGGCCTTCTCTCGGCAAAGCCTATGATTTTTCTTTAAGTCATGGGTATTTCCTAAAAAATTAAGTATAGAGACCTCTTCTCTCACAATAAGGTAAGAACTGTGCAAATACGCAGGTAGGCAGCACACAGTTAAGTCACAAAACACTCTGTTTCTTTTACACCAATTGCTTCAGTGTGAAGATGCACCTTATTGAAGGATGACATTTTTTCATGTTTCAAAGCCTCCCCCCTCCCTAAAATTGTTCATAAAATGTACACAACTGGCCTGCTGATTCTGTGCCTTTTTGTTTTGTTTTCAAGCCTAGTTTTGTTTCTTAATTTTTTTAAAAAAAAATCAAAGACTAAGCTGAAAGATGGAACAGAATATATCGGAGAAAAAACCAGCCATCGCCCAGACTGCAGACTTCGATGTAATGGGTGCCTTAGACTGGAAAGACGGCATTGCCACCTTGCCGGGTAGCAACATACAAGTAAGGAAAAAAAATAAGGGATAGGGTAAGCAAAGGCCCTAACTTAGTAAGAGTTACCAAATGTTCTTTTGTCAGGGTAGAGAAAAGACGTGCTGTGAAATGTATTGCCCTCTGGCATTAATTGGAGCTCTGGTGGCAAAAGCAAACTTGAGATGCCATCACCAAACTGAGTTAAATTTTGCTGAGATTTCTGCTTGCCTGCTGATTTAGCTATTTGTTTTTCCTGCTATGCAGTGAATCTGGAGTTTCTGGAAGCAAAATGTCAGTGAAGAAGTATAACTCACTGTTTATGCACCAAAACAGAGATCTAATTTAATATATTTTCAGCCACATAAGTACACTTACTAAAGATAATCACCCTGTTTTAACTAATTTGTGAGACAGAGGAAAGCTCTCTTCTTAGCTGTGACTCCTTGGGTACCAGTATTAGACTGCAGAATAATAATTGTAATAGAACAAAACTGCAGCAGGGGAAAAAAGAATTGTGCTACCTTGTCTGGACCTGGTGACATCTAAGCCTCTACCAAGATGTTTCCTTACACACCTGTGCGTTATAAAAAACTTGGAACCCAAGGCTGGTTGCTGGCAGCCAACAAGAACAACAGAGAATTGCATGGTGACAATAGGAAGGAGAGCAGAAGAAACTGTGGCTGGTTGTGCTGATCAGAGAGGCTGGTCTGAAGACTGGTTTGGCTTGTGGGCCACCTGTTGAGGAACAGGGCCTTAGCTCCAGCTTTTGGGAGGAGAGAATAACTCAACTTTGCAGTTAATCTGCATCTAATTTGAGAGTTTTAGGCAAATATGGTTTAATGGAATACCTCTTATATATAGACTTTTTCATTACAGATTTATCCCCATCCCACCTGCTAACTGATCTCCATAATGTTATTTATTTATTTTTTAATTAAATGTGTTAGCTGTCTTTTAAAAAATCTCAAAGTGCTATAAACTATTGAAGGATTTAATATGATAAATAGCTTTAAGGATGAAGACCCTGTGAAGTAATAACTGTGTTGCATCATGCGCAGAGGGCATTTTCCTTACCCCTGATCTTTTATTCTCTTTTCCTCTCTTGGGTTCTAGTGTGGGCACATAGCCCATGGGGTGTGATTTTAAAGATGGTTTGAATTCTCTCTTTTCAGAAATTGAGAATGGGCAACGTTGCAATCAGAAAATTTGTCAGTCATTGTTGGTATGATTTTTAAAGATACAAATTACATGCCCCCCAAGAGTAATGTTCTAATAAAATAACCACTACTTCAGCATCAACATGAAAGTCTGCCCAGTATGTCAAATCTAGGCCTGCCACCAGCGATATATCAATATATCTCCCAGGACTGGTATGAGGAGCTTCAGTCAGTGGTATATCGCTGGTGGCACCACCACTGCTCCTGAGTCTCTCTGCTACCAGTGTCCACTAGAGTTCCTGCCTCCAATGGCACTGCTAGCAGAGGGACTCAGGAGTGGTGGCAGTTTCACCAGCGATATATCGCTGAGTGAGACCACCATCACACTCTGCCCTCATACAATGCAGAGGGAGAAACTTTCCTTCCCTCTCCATCTTTAAACTGCTCGACTGAGGCGTGTGCACCGGGCTGTTTCAGCTGGGGAGAGGGAACCTTTCCCTTCCCTGGCTGAGCTGCGCAAGAAAACTGCATTGTCCCAGCCCATGAGCGCCTGGGTGAAACTGCCTCAGTAATAGCTGGGGCAGTTTCACCAGGTGCCTCGCTGGCAGTGGCCAATGCAGCTTGTTTTTCCAACATTGTGGTATATCACCAAACCATGATGTTTGGCTGGTGATACACCACAATGTAAAAAAGCCGATATCGCCCAGCCGTAGTCATATCATCTTGCCTTTAATGACACATAATAACTGTAGTGAACTTCACATTGTAACCACCTACATTGTGTCTAAAAACACTTGGATCATTCTTTTGTTGCTCTTCCATTTAAAAAGCAACAACATAGTTGTGACAATCTATAATTATTGATCAGCATGTTGGCTGGTTTGCATTTTCTCTCAGTCAAGTAAAAACAATGCTGTATTATCCTCGGATTTGTAAGAATGGCTCAATTTGATTACAAAACAAGTGATAAAATATTTTATTTATAAAATGCTTAAGAATGCTTAACAAATCTTCACTTGTTTTTCAAGGGTCTTGCATTATAGTTCTGTTTATGTGTTTTAAAATATTGTTCTGCCCTCTGTAATGGGCGAATCTCTAAATACATGGAGATGGAAGTGTATTGTGAGCAACATCCAGTCAAAAAGAAGCCCTTCTGACATCAGTGATTTCAGTTGGATAGTTAGGTACATGCTTAAATATTTCACACTGAATTCATTGGGATTTAGGGTGATATCCAGCTAAGTCATAAGGGTGCGGGTGGTGCTGTGGGTTAAACCACAGAGCCCAGGGCTTGCTGATCTGAAGGTCGGCAGTTCGATGGGGTGAGCTCCTGTTGCTTGGTCCCTGTTCAACCTAGCAATTCGAAAGCACATCAGAGTGCAAGTAGATAAATAGGTACCGCTCTGGTTCACCAGAAGTGGCTTAGTCATGCTGGCCACATGACCCGGAAGCTGTATGCCGGCTCCCTCGGCCAGTAAAGGGAGATGAGTGCCACAACCCCAGAGTCGTCCATGACTGGACCTAATGTTCAGGGGTCCCTTTACCTTTACCAGCGAAGTCATATTTTGAGTAGACCCATTGAAATTGCTTAAGTCCATTGATTTTATTGGGTCTACTCTACTAGCGGATATCAATCTTGGTGTTTACCACTAACTGGATGTACCCTGTCTGTTGAGTATTTTGGTGAATTGTGGCAGATATTGGTTAAGTGCTTACGGGGAACGAATAAACATAAACTGGATGATACAGCAGAAATGTTTACTAGTACCCATGTACCTTCCTCATTTTGAAATTCAAATAATGTACACATCACTTCCCAAACTGTTCAGAGACATTCTCCTTGTAGGTTATAACTACATGAACCATTTAGGGGGTTGGTGCTCTAGCACTATAGGAAAGTAGGTGTATACCAGTACCAGCTTGATGTGCTGAGACATCCCTCTAAAGCAGCAGATACTGGCAACCATGGTTTTCACTTTTTAGATTTTGATTCTAAGCAGATAACCTTATGAAGGAGTCATTACTCTCCCTCAAACAGCACTATAGTTTTGAAGATCTTCGACTGTGTATGTAATCATTCCTCATTATATTTTTATATGTTTCATAGGTCTGAATCATGTTTATCGATGATGTCTTTCTGTATGTACATTGAAAGAAATGAGTACTCATTTAATCTGTGTCTGTGCTATACTAACGATGTCCTAGAGATTATTGTCAATGCAGTATTTAATGCATTTTCTTTGCTATTAGTTCCTTTTTACTCCAATCTACCTTCTTTCCTTGCTGACTCTCATATACTGTTTCCTTTCCTTCAGAAGTCTCTTTTGTCACATGTTTACTCCATTCACTTTTTCTTCCCTGCAGTTTCGTTTAACTGAGTTTGGGACACTGGAAATAATTACAGAAGTTGAAGCAAAGGCTACAAAAGCTCTCTCTGCATCATCAATCAATACCAGTTCAGCCCTTAACTTGTCTACCTCTTCTGTGCCCAACACCATAACTGCTTGTGGTACTGAAGGTGAGCCTTAGACTAGTAGACTATATAATGGAACAAGAGCATGAAGCCGACATAAAAAAATTAAAATGCTTCAGTTACGTGTAGCAAGAATTGGTCTTTGTCATGGGTCATGCAATCTGGCAAAACATTTGAACTGCTTGTAATTTTTATTCATTTAGCATTATTTACAGTAACAGTTTATATTTGTCCTTAGGAACAGAACTGTAAAAAAAAGGGCGCCATTTTGAACTTTGAAACATTGTAGTTTCAACCATCAGGACTCCTGTTCTACCACACGGGGGTGGGAACTGGAGTGCACAATTTTCCAAATTATGTCTATTGTCCAAGAGCAATCTTGTGGGCAAGACATTGTTTCTGGAACAGGTATGCTGGTAATGTACCGGTAATTATAGAATGCATTAACATCAACTCATGTTAGCAATCTTGAATTTCTGTTGTTTCTGGTGGTCAGATGCAGTTTCTTATTACTAATTCTTGTTACTTTTACATTTGTAAGACATTGCTAGGACTACTTACTGCTATTAAATTCACACAAGAGGAATAAGTGCACTGTTTGAAAACCATTTAAGCTTATCTAAATTTCTGCAGTGGTGCAGATTCACATTCCTGACACTGATATTGCTGCTACGTGACACTGATGTCAGGAAGGTGACATTGCTGGACTTCTCTGGCCATTCCTGATACTTAGATTGGCACCATCTAAGTTAACCTGGTTGTATTGTCTCTATGGAGATTATTGAATATACTGCCAAGTTTTGTGATTTTAAACAAGGATTTATGAACAAAAATGAACTCATGCTGTATGATTACTAACTGTGTAATGCTACACATTTCCTCCTAAGCAAACTTTGTACAGTTGGGTACAATTTTCTGTTTTGTCCACATGCTATTGCTGAAGATTTTTGATCCAGAACAGAAGAATGAATCCAACTAAAGTACACATGAAAATATGCTTAGATATAGGCTTTATTTATTTATTTATTTATTTATTTCAATAAATTTTTGTTATTTTCTTTAAACATACACACAATTTCTTTATAAAGTCATAGTTGCTTGCATATATTTACTATGTCTACACAAGTTTATTAAAATTTCAAAACAGATACACCTTTATCTGACATCCATGTAGAGAGTTACCGTATTTTCCCATCTATAAGACCCGCCCATGTATAAGACTCTTTTTTGGGACTCCAAATTGAGGAAATGGGGGGAATTGCCCCCATGTATAAGACAACCCAATTTTTAAGCTTAATTTTTCAGGAAAATAACCTAGTCTTATACATGGAAAAATACGGTAATTTATATTGTATTCATCATATAGTTAGACCAATCTTTTTTGTTTAAGTAAGTAGATTATTATAAGACCAACATCATTATCAATTGATAAAATAAAAAATATAAAATTGTCCCCAAAGCCAAAACCAGTAACAACAGGGTGCATATAAACAATCTATATATTAAAATGTCATTTCAATACGCATAGTTAATGACATTTTTAGCTGTTAATTTTTGTTTCTGTTTAGTTACAGCAAATCTGGCTTAAATGTAACCTATTTCTTTCAGACAGAAAATACATTATTTTAATTACATCATCATATCTTTAAATCACTTTCTTTTATTGAATGTGGCCTTAAGGTATGTGTTTAATGAGGTGCCTATAACTCATACTTTTTTGCCACAATACATTTTATTAGCCTATGGTGTTAAGACTCTTCTTGCTGTTTTTGCTGCAGCTAACATAGCTTCCCCCTCTGGAATTTGTCAATATAGATGAAGTTTTGAATTTGTCATTTCATGGGGTAGGTGCCTAGAGGCTTTATACATTTGACAGAATTCAAAACACTAGTCTTCTCATCTCTAAAGTTCACCCACAGTTAAAATACCCACAGAGTCTTCATTTGTTTGTTGCTTTGGCTTAAATGACTTCACAGACTCTTTAAATACCTGGCCCATGGTGTTCTGTTTCCTTTCAGGAATGTAAAAAGCATTGAAAGAGCTCCATGAAAGGTTTTAGAAGTCCCAAATATTTTTATTTTGAATTAATCAGTGCCTATCATCCTTTTTTTTTTTTTTTGCAGTGTCCAAGGACAATATTCCCAGATCTGAACTCCAAACCTGTGAAAATAACAGACACCCTGGGAAAATGGACTGCTTTGAGAATTCCCGTCAGGAACCTAGAGACAGGTAATGTCTTTGGTCTCCTCATTTCTTTCATGGGACACAAGTGGAATCTGGATTAATCTATATTTATCTCTGTATTAAAAGAGCAAGTATCAATTTCAGTATTTTTTAAAAAGATGTTGGAAAACAGGATGGCTGGCTGCTGATGCAGTAACTAAATAGTAAGGCTGCAATCCTACACAATGAGCTGGGAGTCAATACCATTGAACTGAATGAGGTTTACTTCTGAGTGTAGGATTGTAGGGTAAATCACCTTATGAAAGAATGATAGCATTCAAGGTGGAGACTGGCCCCATGTATTGATGAGGCACTGACCAAGACAGATTAAGAGAGGTAGTGGTTTTCTCTTTATCAGTTAACATTAGTCAAGAGAGAGAGAAATGCAGTTGTTGTTTCTCTAAACAATATTCTTTGATTAAATTTAAAATGTCTAATTATCTTTCAAAACATTTATTTCAGCATGACTGAAAGTTTATTCTCAATACTTTATTCAGAAAGGTGGAAAAAACGTATTCAACCTCTGATCATTTAACTGCCCTCTGCATCCCCATCTAATTTCAAAACACTGTAACTATATATAAAGAATACTCCAGTTTGTCTGAAATTCATTTTATTCACATATTTGTGATTGCTTTAAATAGATGAGTTATAATACTCAAAAGTTTCATTAATTTGAGTAACTTCTAATTTCACATAAATTATGTTTTGCCACCTCAGTTGTTTCCCAACATAACTTTCATACACTAGTTTTGCATTTTTAGTAATGCTAAACATTGAAGTAGCCCATAAAAATTGTTAGGATGGTAGCAAACCTGTCACTCAGATGGGGAAGTTCTATTCCTGTTTACCTCACAAGACTGCCACAGCAGAAAAATGAATACATATCCAGTTTCCTTATAAAATACAAAATGAAATGAAAACTCCTCAAGCAAGCTGTGATAGAAAAACCGTTGGTGGTATGTCTGAAGCATAAGAAGGCCACATTGCAGTATAAAAGTGTACAAGAGCCTTTCTTAAAGGAAATTAGCTCTGACGCTTTCATTGGCTCATATTGAATGAAAATGTAAGCATTGTTTCAACTTTGCAGTGCTTGTTTTCCTTGATGTGAAATATTCAATGCTAATATGAATGAAGCTCAACATCAAAAAAACCTGCATGGTTATGCAGTTGACCTGTGCTTCAAGAAAGGTCACTATTGTACATGATTTTGGTTTCCTTAAATTTGATTAATTGCTAATTAAGATGCCAGTTAGTACTAGCTATTAAAGCTTAAGTCCTGAACATACTTCCTAGGGAGTAAGCCTCATTGGTCATAGTGAGACATGTCTGAGTAAACATGCACTGGATTGTGCTGTAAGTCATACTGCTGCAGCAGCACTTGTAATCTATCTGTACAGAACCAGCTCAGGAGGTTAACTAAACATTTGCCTCATGCTATTCAACTATTTAATTTCTTTTCATTAATTTTTTTTGGTGAATTTATTCATTTAAACATCTTGCCTTTCCTTTTGTTTGGATCCACAAGGTACTTTAATAATATACAAGCAAATAATGAAATTATAGTTAAAGAGCAATATTGTAGATTTAGCATCAGTAAAAGGACAGAGCCCATTCATTATCCTTTGTCCCAAGTTCCCTTTATAACAACAGTCTTTTAATCTAGTATGTAGACTCTAGTATGTAATATGTAGAATTCCGCAAAATAGGCATTGCTGCTGAAAAAGCCATGTCTTGCGTAGCTACCCACTGAACATCAGATGGAGCGGGGAACCTAGACCAGGACCTCAGAAGATTATCTAAGTGAGCAGGTCGGTTTTCATTGAAGAAGCCGGTCTTTGAAGTATCCTTGCCCCAGACCATTTATACTGTATTGCCTTTTAAATCTGCCAGTCCAGATGCTTCACCACTGTTAATGGGAAGGGTAACTTTTTGTAACTTCACATGGATACCTTGCACTTATGTTAGGTTTTGTCTCTTGTAGAGTCTCTAAGGACATCCCAGCTGACTTTGGGAAACAGACAAGTAGCAGCCAGATGTATGAAACAGACAGACCTTCCAAGCGCCTACGAAAAAAGAGGAAGTTGCTTTTGGATTCTGAAGATGAAGAAGAAAATGCAGATGATGATGAGGTATTACAGGTTTAGTTGGAATCATAACCAAGCGACTACACTTGAGTTGGGCAGTGATGTATGTAAATCTCAAAAACTTTTTTGAATTAGAAGCTAATGTTTACATTTTACATTCAGAAAATATCACTCTGGAAAGTTTATAAATATATATTTTTATTGTGTGTGTGTATGTGTGTATCATGGGGGGGGAATACTCTATATGGCAGGTTATGTTTCTTGTTTGTTTTTTGCATTTCTACCTTTTTACCAAGGTACCCAAGGTGAGTTACAATTTAAAATACTAAACCTTTTTATTTTTATAAAAGAATGAAAATGTCAATCAGATGTATGAAAATCTCGGTGCATTTTCTTATCATTTAAAAAATATGTCTATTTCTAGGAAAAGAATAAATTGAATTTGAAAAACCGCAAGAATGCTAAACCAGTAAAGCAAGGTAAGTGGAAGGCTTAATGCTGAAAAGCTGCTGTATAGTGGATAATTTTGCAGCCCAGAAAGCTGGGGCTGTAGAACCCATAATATATCTAGAATAGTAGAATTAAGGGTTGCGAGTAACAGTATACCAACTTGCTCAGGTGGCCGCAAAGCATCTGGATCATTCATTCTGGCGTCATCAAACTAGAGTCCCTCCTATGAACAGCAAGCTGAATATGATAAATCCTGTTAAAATAAACACTGGAAGATAAAATTGAAATGAAACTGATAATGATTGATGGGCTCTTAAGGATCATCTTAAATTAAATTACATCCTCAAATATTGTTCATCTTTTGCATTAATTTGTTGAACGCTTTTACTAAAGTCAGAGCTGGAGACATTTACAGCACACTTAATTAAGTGGAACTTGGTAAATATGTATAAGATTGCAGCCTGGTCATATTCCTCACGATCTGTCGGCTGGCCATTTAATTTCTTTTAGATTTGCTTTATTGCTGCTAATGGTTGCTCATCTTTCCCTGTACACAGTATATTTTGAAGGACTATGGGAATTTGTTGTTTTGTACTGGTCAGTAAGGGTCTGTTTGACCAGTGCACCATTTACAGCTATCTAGAAACAAGAAAACCATATCTAAATAGCATTAAAAGTCTGCCTCAGATATTTACAACACAGAAAATATTTTGAAATTTATGAACAGACATTACAAAAAGCACAGCAATTCTGAGTATTCCCCCCCCCCGTTTCATTTAGAACTATTATATATGGTTAATTTTTTCTCTTGCTGTGTTTTTGTATAAATAACTGTAAATGCGTAAATAATTAATTGTATGTGGTATGTTTGTAATTTTTAAAAAAGCAACACCAGAAACCAGATCCTTCCTGCAATTAGTTTTATTCATTTCTTAAATAGTAGATAGTTTTGCTTGTTTTAGTTCCCTAATATATATTCTAGTAAGGGGAAGTTGATAGCATTAGAATTGTTGGACTGTACTTGAAAGCTGCTATCCATCTATTGTAGAAGAAACGGCTTACCTTTGGATACCCAATGTGGCAAATAGAAGCACATGTGTGTGGATCTCTGCTTCAGTGCTTTGCCCTGCAGAAATAATTTCCTTCTCATTCTGTCTTTGCTCAGTTACTCCTGGAAAGAAGCATGTGTGGAACTGGCTGTCATACTTAGAAGAAGAAAAAATGGCACCTGCTCCACTAAAACTCTTCAAAGAGGTTGACAGCTCTTGGATAATTTATTTATTTTGTTCATGTGAATATTTAATGACTTTGTGCATTTGGTTAATGGGGGGGGGGGCTGGTGTTGTTTTGGCATGTGCTGTGGTGCGTACAGGAAAAATAGAGTTTTCACCTTGTCAAACCAGCCTAGAGTTCTTGCACACAAAAGAGTTCTCCTACAGGAAGGAACCAGACAGGGTTGACTTCCTTTATTTTGTGCTGCTGCAACACAGAATAAAGGGCTAGATTTACTGGTGGTGTTGTGTTGGCTGGCTGGCTGGGTAGTTCTATCTTGTCTGAAGGGTGGTTCCTGACGCCTTTCCAATAATATCCTAAAAATTAACAAAGCTTCCTTTTGGGTCAATATGCAAGTTTGCTTGTTAAAAGGGAAAATGTGTAATCAAGCCCCACTTCTGTTTTGGTCTTAGGAAAAATGCAGTCAAACTCCCTTGCTCCTTTCATTGTTTCCTCTGTGTAGTCAGGAATAGTTTGCCCATTTGGATAGGGAAGAGCTGTTACTACAGAGTGACCAGAGCTGTTGCAACAAGGTGCTGCTCTCCAAAACAGCTTGCTAATGAGATAGGTGGCCCTGGGCTTTCTCATTGTGAGGGAGTAGTAGACAAGAAAAGGGGAGAGCAAGTGCTGCAAGACAAAGGCCAACTGCCATGGATGCTCTTGCTGAGATTCCTGCATTGCTAGGGGTTGGACTAGATGACCCTTAGGTCCCTTCCAACTCTATGATTCTAAGAAATCTTCAATTACCGCCTGTACTGGATGCCAGAGAAATGAACCAATATGGGCAGAGGAGGGTTTTATTTGTACTTGTTCCCCTGTAGAAATGGGAATATGTCAATCACTCACTAGAGAAAGTTTAATAGTTGTATTTTTTTTTAAGTTTGCACCCAACCCCTGTTTTAATTTGTGCCTTAAGTATGTGAAATTGCTCAGCGCTAGGATCATATCTTAGCCAGTGACTGTGTGAAGCTAGCTTTAGCTTTGCTAATTAGCATAGTGCTTATATTAATTGGATCCTTGACTTTTAGCATGTTGTAGATTATTTGATTAAAAAATAATCATTACAAGTGAGGGTACAAGTAGCAACCAATTGGCATGTCTAAAAATATGCAAGAAGCTGACCTCTATAGAATGTGAATATAGCACACATCCTGTCTGATACTGAATTCCCTCAATTTCCATTGAAATGAAAAAATAGCACCTTGTAACACAGGGGAAATGTTCAGTCATCCATTTTTTTCTAGCGGCACCTTTCAGCTTTGATCAGTTATGTCTATAAAGATCAACTTCTTGGTGGAAGTATGCATTGGTTATAAAAGGTTGGTGTGCAAATTAATTTCAAACCATGGTTTCCCATTCTTGTTTGCTGACTGATCACAACCATGGTTTTTCATTTCAGAGTTAGCTTAACTATCGTTTCATGCCAACTGATGTCTGAATTGAGCGCAGAAGTTGCTTGTCTGATGTGACAGAACCACAATATTCGCTTTCTAGTAGTGACAGTGCTGCCAATTACCAGGAGATGAAGGGGTGGGAAGGTCAAGGTCGTGTGGGTGCAACAGCAGATCTAATCCAGTGCTCTCACTGTTGCACCCACTATGCATTGACCTCCCCACTGCCTCACCCCACTCCATTGTGGTAAGTGACAGTGACACTACTGCCAAAAGTTATCATTGCTGCTCTGTCCCACTGGGCAAGCCATTTCTGATGAATCACAGTCTTCAAATCAATATATTTGTGAATATAATTCTGATATAGATGCCATTCACCTTCCATCTCTCAGTGTAAAACAAGTACAGAGTTAGCAATCTCTGAAGTTACCTCCATTAGAGAAAACAGATTACACAAAATACATTTCCTTCTTATTTCCTCCATAGAGTATTAACACTGCAACAAGAAAGTCTTCGTTGAAGTGTAAAATAATGTTTTCCCTCCATTATTTCCACTGCAGTCTCAGTCCTTTCCACAAAACAAAAATGGATTTAAAGTTGGAATGAAGCTAGAGGGCCTAGATCCTGAACACCCATCCTTATTTTGTGTTCTTTCTGTTGCCGAGGTATTTGCCTTTCTTTGTCTTGAAATCAACAGTATTAACTTATTTTCTGAATAATAAGGGGGAGGGGGAAATAGACAGAGGGAAGGTCTCTAAGGCATGCCCTGGATCAGTGAGTTAGAACAATGTCTAAAGATAATGCTTCACATTCTATTTAATTAAAAATATCTTCTGCCTTGATTTTGTTATTTTAAATTAAACAACTTTAATGGTTTTAAAGTCAGAAACAGATCCTGCCAGACTCAAAGGGTATTTTCAGGTAAACAAGACAATCTTTAGTGTGTGTGTGTGTGTGTTTTCTTGGGTGTTTACTTGAATTACTGTATTTTTCCGTCTACAAGATGCCCCCATGTATAAGACGCCCCCTATTTTTGTGGCAACAACCAATCGCTAGTCCACCCTCGGCACTATCCGTGTATAAAACACCCCCGTAATTTTTGACATTATTTTTAAGGAAAAACCCCTAGTTTTATACACAGAGAAATGCGGTAATTTTGAGGCCTGAATAAATGGGTACACATGTGCAAAATGGATCTCCTGGCGGGTGGGTGGGAGTGAGTGAGAGAGAGACTCAACATCAGTGTGACTGGACACTGCAGTGTAGAGACTTGAGTTCCACTGTGACAATAATCATAAAACAGACTTTGTGGAGGAGTCCCTACAACTATAGATAGTAAATTTTAAAAGTGAGCATTTCTATCTTTTGCCAAAGTTTTTAAGGAGATGGAATCAATCCAGAGTTAAGTTTAAAAAACAAACCCAAACAAACAAAAAACAACCCTGAGGTTCATTTGACTCGTGAAAGGGATAACTTTGAGTTGCTTCATGCTTACAGGTGCAAGGGTACAGAGTGAGATTGCATTTCGATGGTTATTCTGAGTGTTATGACATCTGGGTTAATGCGGATTCTCCAGAAATCCACCCTGTTGGATGGTGTGAAAAAACAGGTCACAAGCTGCTTCCTCCTAAAGGTACATGAACTTATTTTTTTGTTCAAACAAGTGCATTTGGATGTAATGCTAAGCCACATTTTAGCACCTTGGAAACACACATGGATAAGCTTCAAGCTTTTATGCTCCCATCTCATTGGGGGGGGGGGGTTGGTTGTTTGAACATAAAGTTAAAGGCATCCAGTTCCTGATTTGAGTTTGTTGTAACATCCACACTTGGAACTCTGCTTAGTTTAAACGTAGGTTTGCTGAATCAAAGCTAGGTTGTTTAATTTACTATATTGTGCCATTTCATATAAATTGTAGTTAGTTCAAACATGGATGTGGATGCTTCCAGTCTCCTTGCCAGAGGAGGGGGAAGTGAGGAGGGAGCTTGCAAACTCATGGCTCGCCTGTGCTCATTCTGATAGCACTAAAGTTAACATTGTTAAAAATGGGAAGAAGTAATTGAAATCTAAACCAATAAGTAGCCACTTCACAAAGGAGAAATGGGTACATATTAAATATAACATTTGCACCTACCTTTGCTTGCCTTTACTTGTTTGAGTAAAAGATATTAATATTTGTAAATAGCTTGTCAGGATGGCAGTGCAAAGTGCAATAAATAATAAAATGAATAAATAATATGTGAGATGTTGAGACACCGTTTGCCCACCCTGTGTACAGCATGGAAATAAGCTGCTGAAGCAGTGTATTGTTTGCAGTGGATCATGTGTGGTAAACCTTAGAAGACAGAAATCTTACCGGACAGAAGAGAGTGCATTCACTTTTGCTGTAGTTTATGAAGCAGGTTTTTTTATAAGAAAAAAGACAAACTTTTTTTTGATGGAGCCAAGTAATGGAAAACGTAAAATAATGAGAACTTCTTTCAGTAATGTGCAATGTAGCAAATGTATTCACTATGTACTTTTCCCCCCTATTAATGTGTTTCCTAGACTTCTGAAGTTTCAGATTAATGATTAACAACTGCAATAATGTATTTAAAAGACAGAAGAAAGTGAGAGATATGTTAACTGAAGCCTGTAACTCCTGCCTATTTCACAGGGGCAGCTATTATGCAAAGTTCACATTCTTCCCACATCATTTCTATTTCTGAAAAACCAATCTGAATGTAGCAGCAGCCACTGTATAAAACAATACTTTTATCTCCCTCCCTCCCTCTCTCTCTCTAGGTTACAAGGAAGGGGAATTTAATTGGACATCATATTTGAAGAACTGCAAAGCTCAAGCTGCCCCCAAAGCTCTTTTCAGAGCCCTGAGCACAGTAAGAGGCAGTACTGATGTTTTAGTCTTTTAAATTCCAGCCATTTCTAAAGCTTCAGCCAGGATATTATTGTGCCTTTTTCAAATGCTTGGAACAGAGGCTGAATTCCTAAGAAACGGGGGAATATCAGATGTCAAATGGGAAACCTATTTAATTTCTCACATTACATTTAGTAAACAGAGTTTATTGTCTGGCTTTTTATTTATGTGCACATGGCAAAGAAACAATTCTATCATCTGACTACTTACTAGGTGATTTGGCACAGACTAGATTGTATTTTGTCATATTTCTCTGGCATTGGCTACATTTTACCAGAATACCAGAACTTGCTCAGTCCTTGACGGGAAAATATTTGTTATACGTGTACTTACATCAAACACATTTCTGCTCATTTGAATAAATGCATTCATCTTCCCCATCTCCAGCATTTTTAAAATAGCTTTAGTTTGTTTCCCGTTCCACTCTGTCAAGTATCCTTGCTTGTACATTTGCATAGCACCTTGTCCAATCTGTAGCCTGGCAATGGTTGTCAAATTGTGTTGATTTCAATGAATGAGAAGGCCCTTTGTAACTCTTCCATGCAGAGTAGCCTTGTGGAGAAAGTAAGATCTGTTCCAGCTTTTCTTTGAATACAAGAGTCACTTCCCAGCAGCATTTTACATAGTCATATAATTGTAGGGTTGGAAGGGATCCAAAGGGTCATCTAGTCCAACCCCTGCAATGCAGGAATCACAGCCAAAGAATCCCTGACAGATGGCCATTCAAGCTCTGTTTAAAAACCTCCACTGGAGAGTCCACAACCTTCCGAAATTGTCCGTTCCACTGTCAAAGAACAAGCAACCCATTTTTCAGCCAAGAATTGTGCCAGGAAGCAGTAACTGTATTTGTGGATAAACTAGCCCAGACATTATTTCTTTCACATGATTGTGTCTGCAGGGCCACTCTATATGGAAACGTTTCATATATTTGAACAAGGTCAGGATCTTTAGGTTTCAGTCTGAGTGATCCCCCTCTATTTATGGGGAACATCTGCTGTATGTCAGAGGATTTGTCCAGTAATGTGCCAGAACTTGCTGTTACCATAGTAGAATTGTCATAGGATTCAGCCTCTAGCACTGAATTTTGATCCAAGTGGAAAATAGCATTTGCATTCTGCTGTCTTGATGTCATAGCGGATTATAGTTTAGAGGAGGGAGAAGAGGTTTGGATCTAAAGGTTCTCCTCCTCTGGATGAAGGAATCCTTCTATCGGAGAAAGGGAAAATTCAGAATGCAAACCATTCCCACATATGTATTGCCAAGTTCGGTCTTTAATATGTCCAGTTAGAACAAACTCAGGAACCATGCCTGGGAAGGATTTCTACCTGAAACCTCTTTAGAAGGATAAATTTATTCAGCTGCTAGATTAACCTGCTAGTTTGACCTGGTATAGTTTGTTTTTTTATGAGACTTTCCCATATCTAACAAATTCTGGTCTTTAATGTGTTTTTTTTTTTAAAAAAAATGCTTTATTAGCATTCATTATACTAATGAAGCTATAATTTCAATAATTTAGTGAACTGCAATGTTTTCTCAATTTCCTCCTGTTCCTTAGCCAGTCACACCTTCTGGTTTTCGAGTGGGAATGAAGTTGGAGGCCGTAGACAAAAAGAATCCTTCTTTAATGTGTGTAGCAACCATTGCAGACATGTTGGATAATCGGCTGCTAATTCATTTTGACAACTGGGATGAAAGTTATGACTACTGGTAAGTAAAGAATTATCTCCTCTGTTCATGCAACTATGGTATTGCTTGACATTGCCTAGATCAGTGTTTCCCAACCTTTTTTGGGCAAAGGCACACTTGTTTCATGAAAAAAATCTCGAGGCACTCCACCATTACAGCCCTGTGACGTCAGCGTGCAGCGTCACGCGGGAGGGGCGCACGAAAGTGTAAGTTTCAATTTTTTCCCCTCCCCCTTGCCTTCCTTCTGTGCCAACCGCCAAAAAAGCCAAGAATCGCGGGACCGCCGGCGGAGGGGGGGAGGGCGAGCGGAGGCAGCGACGAGCCCCGTTCCTCCCCATCCGCCCCATTCCGTGCAAGGAGCGCGAACAGGTGTGAGAAGGGGGTCAAACCTGCGGGTCGGCACCGGGAAACCTCCAAGCTTTGGGGGTGGGGGGGGAGGAGGCAGCAAAGCGAGGCAGGAAGGAGAGCGCGGCTTGGCTGGGTGAGCTTTGGCAGGGGCAGGGAATGAGAGCCGCGAGGCGGGCGCTGCGGACGGAGGCGCTGCCCGCTGAGCTCGCAGGCAGCCAGGCAGGCAGACGGCGAGAGCCCCGCGCTGGGCGGCCTCTCCTTGCCGCCGCCGCCCCGCCTCTCGCCGCCTGACTCGCCCGCCTCCCTCCAGGCAACATCTCGTGGCACACCAGGCAACGTCTCGTGGCACACTAGTGTGCCGCGGAACACCGGTTGGGAAACACTGACCTAGATAGAGAATGAATTTGAGTTCGGATGAGGGGGGCGCTAGTTCTGCATTTTGAGTCAGGCTCCAGTTCTGAATTTAGATTCATCAGGTCTTACTCACTTCCTGAATTTCTTAAGCTGTCTTAAACACACTTAAATTTCATTTAGTGCACCTTACCTCCGAGTGAATATGTTTGGGCCCAGTTGTTTGCTTGTGACATTGTCAAAACTTGTAGAACGGTGTACAGCTCACATCTTTTGGAAAATCTAGGGGGAAATACTCTTTTACTTGCAAACTTATGCATGCTTACCATTTGTCATTATGATTTAATTAGTTATTTTAGAGGTATGTGTATGTATATATAACTATAGATAGGTATATTGTTGCAATTTTGAGACACCCTGGGAGTCCTGTAAAGGACCAAAACCCAGAATATAACTGAATAACTGAATAAAATAATGTAGTCAACATTTAAGTTTTTCTAGCTATGTCTTAGCTAGTAGAAAATGATTATACAACCTGCCTTAGGATCGACATACGTCTGGAACGTTCTCTCTTTGTTTTGTAACACAATTTTTATTCATTTTCATCTTTAAACTGTTTAACATGGTTGCATCGAGAAATATCTTTGTTAATAGAGCATATGACAAGCAACAATTACATAAAATTAAAAATTAAGCAGTAAAGATGACGGGAACTTCTGAAGGTGCTCTATACCCTCTAAAGGGCAGGCTGCCCTACAGTATGCGAATCATTGACTTATTCTTTCCCATGCCTGCTGATTTCTCCATGAAAATAAAATCCCACACCACAGCTGTATTTAGCTCAGTTTCTCTCTGCCTTGTTTCTGACACCAGAAATACACCCAAATGGAGGAAAGAAGGTTGCAGGAGACATTAGGAGGGGAGAATTGATAAGTATGTGAAAGGTTAAGCACTCTTTTCTCACATTCACCAATGCTTAACTACACATGTTCCTCATGCCCCTTCATTCACATTACTTTAGCAATTGTGGGTTGGGAATGTTCCAAGTTAGGGTGGAACTACACATTAAGGTTTAGGAGATTAGGGAATAGTTGACAGGTGAAAAGGATAGATTGATTGTTCCATGCAGTGAACTGCTACCCACCGAAGGACATCCAATCTATTCTCATTTCTGAACCTTCTTTCTCACTGTATGCAAATTTTAAGTCTTTTGCAACGTTGATTACTAGAAGCATGCTTGGAGAAAAAGAAAGAGCACTGAGAATCCCAGCATATCAAATTATGCTGCACATACCAGGTTCCTTAAAAAACCAACAACATCCTGACTTTCTTCCAAGTGGAACTCAAGGCAGGTTCTCAGCACAAGTGTAAATGCTTTGTAGATCAATGCAAATATATACAGTGGCCGCTCACACAACAGTCACACCAAGAGAGGAGAGAAGGCAAAAAGAAAAGAAAAAGAATACAGGGGAAAGCTATTTAAAAAGGCCCGGAACTAAGTCTGAGAACCAAGCCTTCACTGACCACAGACAGAGTCAGTCTGCTTAGAGGGATGACCCAATGGAAAGCAAGCATAGGGTCTGACTGATCCCTCCAGTAGGAGGCATCATCTTATTTTAGAAATGTCTTTCACCTGGATCTTCAAACGGAAATCCACATTTTTCCTGCCTTCCAAGCACTAGGAGGGATTATAACCCACTTGATACCTTCTTATGTTGAATAAGAAAAAACCCTTCACAGTAAGTTCCAGTGTTTTGGTCTTCTTGAAGACATAGTTTTATGACTTTTAAAGCAAGTGGCTTCCATGTATGATCAGGTTCAGCAAAGAAACATCAGATTCATTCTTTCATGTACTGGCTGTGACTGGAACTAGTTCTCTCTGTTTGACCCAGGTGTGATGCTAGTAGCCCTTATATTCGACCTGTTGGTTACTGTCAAGAAACTGGAACTCCCCTTACAACACCAGCTGGTATGTTGAAAGTTCACAAGTCCCTGTTGCATTCTAAACATTTGCAAGATGTCATCTGCTCTATATGATTCAGATGTGTATGAGGTCTGTTCTGGTTTCTCCTCTCCAATTAATTCTGTTAGATTTGTAGAATGGGAGACACCCCCCGCCCTGCCCAAGAGGATGGTCATATCCCAATTCCATTATGATAAGGGTAACTGCATGCTGGTGCTGGGTCACAAAATAGGGTCTTTGTTGACAACATGATGTATTGATGCTGGCTTAAGAGTAGGGGGGTTCCTAACAACTCTCAGCACCCTTGGCAGACTACAGTTCCCAGGATTCTTTTGTGGGAGGCCAGGACTCTTTAAAGTGGTATGATATGGCTTTAGACATAAAGTGCAGATGGAGCCCTAGATAGGAGTTGGGATGGGAAAGGAGAATTGAGAGCAAAAAGGCCTTGCTTAAAAGCTCAAAGGATCTCCACAGTGGGCTGGGGGATCTTGCTGGTGTTATTACTTCTGACTGAGGTGGCTGAAAACAGTGTGTCACACACTGCTTCAGGGAGGAACATCTGTAGATTCGGGCCATTTGTCGTGGATGGTTTAGTTTAGATTCCTGCATTGCGGGGGGTTGGACTAGATGACCCTCAGGACCCCTTCCAACTCTACTGTTCTATGATTCTATGAAGTCTGGAGGGCAGCTCATAACGTTCACTTAAATCACCGAGTCCATTTTTGGCCAATCTCTAAGGATGTGGAATTTCAACTTATAAGTTTTAGAGGTAATAAAGGTGCTTTAAAAGCCACGTTACATGCAGAAAATGCAGTAAAATTAACTTTAAAATGAAAATGAAAACTAATGTAGTTATCATTATGATGTGGACCCATTTAGTGAATTTTCTGAGATTGCAAGAGTTATGAATGCTGTACTAGTTTTACAGTATTATAGATTCCATACCAAGATTTTTGAGCTTGTTTAGGCTTGCACAATTACTCCTTCCCTCACACTTTCCCTAACTACTACTTTTGTGCCAAACCATAGTTTGCTTTTGCACAAACACTGGTAACCTCTGGTTTGTGCTTATCCTCCAGACCAGAATTAAAAGCCAGGATAAAAGTTTGCAATGTTTTGGGAGGGCAAGAACAAGCTATCATTTGTTCATTTCAGATATGATGACAAGCTATGATTTTCCATGAAAGGGAAGGTATTACAGTGCACATATGAAGGAGAGAGCAGCTCGTACACCAATTGATGAAGCAGCACAGATCTAAAACAAGCCTAGGCACATAACCTGAAGTGGAAGCTTACACTATATAAACATTTTTAAAAGTGATTTAATTTCTGATTTCAGTTCCCTTGCATAACAATGTATTGTTTGGTTAATGTACACTTCCTATGACTTACAGTTGTAGTTAAAGTGATAATATTTCTAAACCTCTCTGCAGAATACAAGGATTTCAAAAGCTTCTCATGGGAGAAATACTTGGAGGAAACTGGTTCTCAGGCAGCCCCAGCAAGAGCTTTTAAACTGGTTGGTCAACATCTTATCTAGTTTTATATTGGTGAATCACAACATTAAAAGCTATGGTTTTACTTTTGTACAGCTCTTAGTTATAGGTGGATGATTAGGATGATGATGGTTGCTGTTGCTGCTATTTTATTATAATTATGGTATTTATGGAATGTTGGGTGCAAGGCAAATTAGAAATCATGTTCTAGATAAACTAAGTGGGTTACATGAAATGCTTTAAGGTAGCAGTATTTTTTTTAAAAGCTGGTAAATGGCACTGGCTTTTTGAATTTTATGAACATAAGAAGAGCCTGCAGGATCAGACCACTGGCCCATCTAGTCCAACATCCTGTTTTCACAGTGACAAATCAGATACCTGTGGGAAGCATGTTTGCAACAGCATTCTGCCTACCTGTGATTCCCAGTAACTGGTATTCAGGGAATTCAGATATTGTATTACTTATATGATGTTAGCCACTCTGAGCCCAGCTCCGGCCAGGGAGGGTGGGGTACAAATAATTTTATTTATTTATTTATTATAGTGGAGGTAGAACAGGGCCGTCATGGTTAGTGGCGCAGCAGCAGGAGGAGGCCTTATTAGCTAAAGTGGTGCTTCAGGTTAAGAACAGTTTCAGGTTAAGTACAAACCTCCAGATCTAATTAAGTACTTAATCCGAGGTAGCACTGTAACTACAAGTTAGTTCAGATGTAAGAAATTGTGGTTAGTTAAACCAGAAAGCAACTTCTTCCAGAGACACTCTGGCATGCACTGAGGAAGCTGCTGATGGTGCTGCCCAAGCAATCTTACTTTTTTAATGCTAGGCTGTGGTTTATCATTACGTCCAGACTGCACCTTTAAATTATATATGGCTCACCTTACTCTCAGTAATGCTTGACTGCATTTGCAATGTGTTCCTTTACAGCGCCCAGCTCATGGATTCCAGCCTAACATGAAACTAGAAGCTGTAGACAAGAGAAATCCCATGTTAATTAGAGTGGCAACCATAATTGAAAAAGATGACCATCGTGTCAAGGTATGTGCATTCAAATAAGCCATGGTGCTACTCTAAGATTATGAAAAGAATATTGCATTTGAGCTTTCAAGAAAGAAAGCATCTTCAGCAGTAATATGACAGCTTGATCTTAGTCCCCCCCATGAATTGCAATGCTCCTGCTCACTATTGCTGGATGCTATTGTAATGCCACTTATTCTGGAATGACATTTCTGAATTGATTTTTCTTCCCCTTGAGCAATTCTCTGTATGAATCTAACATAAATTTGCCATGTTAGAGCTCTCATACCTTGAGGGTGACTTGCAATACGAACCTCAACATCAGGTTAACCTCATTTTTTTTTTAATGCTGAACGCCTCCACTCACCATCCTGTAATGAGTACATAAACACATCAACTTTGCATTCAACTCATTGTATAAAATGGAGGTTTGTCAGATACAAAGACTGAAAATCTCCCTCAGTTCACAGAATAGGTGAAGCAGCAGCAGATTTTTCTCAAGTGCTCCTTAGTGGGCTCCTTCAGTTTTTATTTATCAGAATTGGATTTAGGCTATAAGAGCCCTCTTGCAAGGTCAAAGCAATGATGCTTATAGACCAGCATTCTGCCTCTGAAAGTGCCTAATTCAAGATGCTCTAGAGGAAGCATATAAGAGACTAAGAAACTAAGAGTCTCCAGTTGAGCACCTACTGTGGTTTCATTAATAACTATTGATATGCCTGTTGACTATACATTTGTAATTTTCCATTGTTGGGTATCCACAGTAATTCTATTCTGTTTATGTGTCAAAAAGGTTCTTCTAGTTCTAATGCTGTAGATTTTGTGTTATGGGTAAACATTCATTAGAAGTCAAAAGTGATGCCATAAACTGATATCGGAACCAGCAACTTAGATTTACCTAAGAATATTACACAGAATATTTTACCCAGAATATTATTTTTAACCCAGGAAACTTAGCTTTACTGGGCAGTTTGGGTGGTTCTCCCCCCCCCCCCCACTACTTGGCTCACTGGCTCCAGAAGGCAGTTCTTGGGGAGCATTGTTTGACTCCATGAGTTTTCCAGTATGGAGTCCTGCAGGGGTCAGTCCCGTCCCTCATGTTGTTTAACATCTAAGTGGGGTCCTAAATAGTTTTGGAGTGTGTAATCAGTATGCTGATGACACACAGCTCTATTTCTTCTTTTCATCTTCTGCAAGGGAGGCAGTGGACATGCTGAATCAGTGCTTGGTTAAGACTGGATGAGAGCAAATAAACTGAAACTTAATCCAGGGAAGACAGGTGCTGTTAAGTGGGTGCTTCCTCTGTCTGGCTGAGTGGTGTGCAACCTGCTCTAGATGGGATCACACTCCTGAAAGAGCACATTCATAGTTTGGAAGTTGTATTGGTTGCATTGCTGTCACTTGAGACACAGGTTGCCTCAGTGGCATGGCGTTCCTTCCTCCAGCTTAGGCTGGTGGCCTAACTATGACCCTCTCTGGACAGGGATAACATGGCCACAGTAATCTATGCTCTGGTAACCTCAGGATTGGACTATTGCAATGCATTTTAAACGAGTCTGCCTGTGACATTTTATTTACTGGCTTTGTGTATTTATTAACTACAGGTGTATATTGCCTTTTTACACATATCTTCTCAAAGCAGTTTACATACTGTTTTAAATTCTGTACATAAAATGATAAAACAGTTTCAGAAATGATTCAAAAGCAATTCAGACTTATAATTATGGAGCACAGTGGCTACTAGTCCTGATGGTTATAGCAACCTCCAAGTTCAGAGGCAGTATGCTGCTGAATACCAGCTGCTGGGGAGCAACAACAAAAGAGGGCTTCTGCCTTCCATTTTCTGCTTGTAGACTTCCAGAGGCTCCAGTAGGAAACAGAATTGTAGACTAGCTGTACCAAAGGTATGATTCAGCAGGGCTCTTTTGTTCAAAAAGCACACATCCAGGTAAATCCCTGGTTGGGGGAGAGTTTCACTTCTGTCTAAAGTAAAACTAAGGAAGATCAAAAGACTCTCCAGGGAATGTATTCCACAGCTCCAGAGCCACAACCAAAAAGATTCTGCTCCTGTTAGAAGCTCTTAGAGTTGTTACAAGAAACATTATCTTATGATAATGAAAATGAAATAAAGAGAGATGATGAAGCTGTTAAGAGGTATGGATATGAACATGCATAGAAGAATAAATAGACTATGTACAGAAATGTAGAAGGAAAGATGATGCCTATCTGTAAATTTTAAAATGCAATTAAAATTAATTTTAAAAGGAAAACAAGAAACATTATCTTATAACTTTCATTCTTTCTTCCTCCAATATGGGTTTCCTCCTCTTTAGATACACTTTGATGGCTGGGACCACAGTTTTGATTTTTGGGTTGATGCTGACAGTCCAGACATTCACCCCATGGGCTGGTGTGCAAAAACTGGACATGCCTTGCAACTCCCACCAGGTGAGACAAAGAATAATGTTGTAGTTTCTTTCTCCCCTCCTTACCTAATTATTTAAAACAAGACTTTGAAATCTATTCCTGAACAAGTTTTGTTTTTCTAGGGACTGCGGACCCATCAGGGGCAGTAGGACAGGGATGCCCTACTCCTGGTTGTCAGGGATTGGGTCATGTCAGGGGACCCAGATATGGAACGCATTACACGTACGTGTGCCCAAGAGTTATGGGGTAATTGCCAGCAGATTGTAGGGCAATATGTATCTGTTGCCCAGCACCTGTTTATCAAGTAATGCAGCTTCAGTGAACTACAAATATGAATGCGTGTCTCAGTTATAAAATGCTGTGCTTCTAGCTCCCTCTTGTGCTTTGTATTTGGCTTCACTGACAAGCTTTGTACTGACACCACAGAAAAGTAGCATCAGAACCTGGCTATATATATTACAGCTACTCACATGAAAGAGGCAGCTCTAGCTGTTTAGAATCTCATGGTTTCATTCCCAAAACTTTGCCAGCAAGAAGGGAAAGTTGGAGTGGCTTGAAGAGGTGTCCTTGAACATTCTCAAGCCACCCAGGAGAAAGTTGAGACAAAGGAGCAAAGAACAGCTCCTTAGCTTGGGAAAGGATTTGTGTTTCATAGTTGGCTGTGTGTGTGTGTGTGTGTGTGTGTGTGTGTGTGTTTAGGATTTCCAGTGTTTGTTAGGCAAAAATCCATTAAATTGCTTTTCCCCAATAAACTCTGTAAGATTTAAAAATTAATAAGGCAAAGTCAGTAAGGCAAAGGCAGGACTCCCTCTTTTAAGCAAGGAGCTGTTTCTACTACTTTGACTCATTGACACTCTCATAAGTCTTTCTAAACATGAAACTAAAACCAAGCTGTGCAATGGGATTCTTGCCGTTAAAATAGCTGACTGCAGATATAGGCTTTGGCGGGATACATGTTGCACAACCCAGGTGCAGCACTAAAAAAGCGCAAGATTACATGGACTCCTCTGCTTTGCATCTTGCTTTCTGCATAATATTTCCTACATAAAAAAGGGAAGATTCATAGCCTACTTCCTCATGAATTTCGGGATTCTTAAAGACCTCCAGAGTGCTCCTTTCTGTTCTGTGCCACTAAGCTGGTGCAGGATTGCATATTAGAATGTTCCCCTGTGTTAAAAACTCCCAGATTGTAAAAAGGTAGCATATTGGGATAAGGAGATTGTTTTGTCCTTCCTCCAGCCTTCTCCCTTGATGTGCTAACTGGCCGTTTAGAGGAAGCTCTTTATGTGGGGGAACAAACATGATGCATACATTTTGCGGAATGACAATATTGTTGTTTTGTTGTTTTTAGTTATTTTGAATTTGTATACCCCCCTCCACAGCAAAGCTCTCTGAGTGGAATTACATTAAAAACCATTTGAAATAAAAAAAAAGTTTTCACCTGTCACCTGAAATCCAGAATGGAAGGTGTAAGTGAACTTTCTTGGACAGATAGTTCCATGGCTGATACATATATATTGTCCTTTAATCCAAAGATCTCAGAGTGAGGGACAATTAAGCTTCAATAAATAATGGTACCAATAAAAATCAGGATACATAAACCAGCAGTAAAACAACCAGATTGGCATAAAATCAATCACACTTCCCAAATGCCTTTGTGAAAAGACACGCTTTAAGCTGGCATCAGAATAACATCAACATAAATGTTTGTCAAATCTTAAGGTGGATGAGATTCCAGATATGGGAAGAGGTGTTTGTTCAGATAGGCAAAAACTTGTGTTTATATTATATTATTTTATTTTATTTTTGAGGGAGGCAAAGCTTGATTTACAGGAAGGAGAAAGAAACTTGTGTTTAAAGGTCAGGACCATTTGGGGTGGGGAAGAGTAACCAACCTAAGTTTTCTCAGACCTGTATAATATGGTCCCAGTGTCCAGAACAAGTGATGCAATTCTCTTGGAAGACTAGGTTGGCCTTGAGAATCTTAGCCATTGAAAAGGCCGCCGAAATGTAGGCGTTTTGTAGCAATTGCCTTTCTGTGTTTGTGCCAGCTCACATCCCCACCTGCTCCTTTTGCTTCCTTCTTTAATGTGTGTGTTTATTTTTATTTCTTTATTTGTAAAATTATTTATATTCCACCTTTTGGGGCACAGCCCATCAAAGGTGGCTCACAATATCATAAACCGATGATTAAATACAGTGGCTGAAAACATGGACAAAGGCAGCAGCATTAACAATTATTACAAGGGTGGTTAAAACAAAGGCTAAGAAACAACTATGCAGAGCTACATTTTGAAACAGCTCCAAAGCAAAAGCCTTTAGGAAAAGGCAGTTATAAAAAGATGAGTGTTGTTTTTTTAAAGACTTGTTCTTCTCTTTAGTCTTCTCTTGAGCTGACCCACCATACCCCCTGCCTCTGGCTAGCTTTTTATGTGCCCTGTTTCCTGAATTCTGGGCAAGAATTTACTTTCATTCATGTTGCCCCAAGCTCATTCAGCTACTCGGTGTTGTTGAAGAGCAGTCATTTTGGCAGCTGATGTCCTTCCCTCCTCCTTTCGCTGAAAACTGCATCTCTCTGCAGAATTTCTGTTTTAGCCTGTGGCTGCTAAGCATTTACTTCCCAGGAGCCTTTATCTTACATGCCTGCCATTTGTTGCTCTTGCAGAGTTGCTGTATTATACCGCTTTGCTAGTTAGTATAGGCCTCGGAGGGAGAAGGTGGAACAATTGGGTTGCATAATATTTTTCTTGTGGAAACATTTTTCTGCTTTTGATGTAGATTAGTTGGCTGCCCATATTCTGAAATCAATCGCAGCAGGGAGAGTTCTTTACAAGATCGTCTTGGTGGAGAAAAACCTTCACCCAGTGCTATTGTTCAGAAGCCCAAGAAACCTGAGACTTCTGCAAGACTTACAGACCTTCAGGAAGACTCTCCACAGTCCAGGTGAAGTTTTAAACTAAACCTTAAGGCCTACTATAATATTGGGCACATTTATTAAGCTACTCTTGCACTGGTCTTGCTTTCCACTTGCCCCAGACTCTCCAGAAAAGCTTGCCTGGTGCCAATATTGTGATCTTTTTGGTGCCAGGCAAAGATGTCCCTGTTCTCTCAGGCACTTGAACAATAATACTGTGTTGGTTTTGTGGCCTTTTCCTGACAGCAGTTGTTGTTAACCCTACTGCTGGGTGGGGAAAGATTCTTGTTTTGTGACTGATTTTGGTGGGGAACATTTTTGTGTATTTTTAATTGCCCCACAGAACTTAATTAGAGTCGCTGACAGCTGAGCCAGTCCTATCTGCATCACCGTATCCTATCCTGAGGACTTTACCAGGCTTTATCTGCACAATCACAACCCTTAATTTGTGAGGATTTGCCCTGAGTTCTAATTCATGGCTAGTTGGGAAGTGGTTTTTATAGATATAAATATTGTATTCTTAGTAGAAAATCATCCACACAAGATGGGGAGAGATCAGGACGGAGCAGTGTCCACAGTCTTTCTGAGCAGTCTGAGACCAGCCAAGAGAAGGACTCAGTGGAAGGGGAATCGTCTGCTGTTACTAAAATCAAATCAAAAGGGTAAGCAAAGTTGTTCAACTTGTCAAACCTACTCCTAATAAAGTTTCCCACCTGCACCATTTAGTTTTGAAGTGAAGGGAACATGTTGGGATACTGATTACAGATGCAAGGGTAGCTTTCAAGGAGCATTGAACAAATTCATGGAGTATCAATAAATGTACCTGAACAATTTGAAAATCAGTTAAAAGTCACTGAGTCAATTTCCAAACCATTTTTTTACATTACAATTGAGTGATCCTCATCTGGCACTGGACCCAACAATTTCTATTCCAAAGGGGTTAGCGGCCTGTGTCAGCATAAACTTAAAAAGTTTTAAAGGGTAGCATGTATTGTGACATACGCATTTGTGAATCAGAGCTCATTTTATCAAATGCCTGGCTAAACATGCTACAAAAAAACATTTTAAAGTCTTTTATTCAGCTCCGTGATTTAAGTGTTCTTTGGAGAAGTAATTTTGTCTCTTCTGTATAATTGTTTGCCTTACTGCCCAAATCTGTGTTTTCAGGATTGGTTGCTCACGTAGCTATATACAGCTCCAGCTAGTGAAGCAGGAGGCTGATGGAAGAGGTTAGTTAATTTTGTGTTTGTGCTTTTTAAAACCATTGAAACAATTGTGGAGTTACTGGAAATTTGGTCATGAAAATTATATATTTTGCTAAATGGGTGGTTTCAATGATAAGGTCAAACTATTTGTTTTGATGCTTGCTGCCGCTTACATTTCTCCCACCTCTTTTCCTCTGGCAAACCTGTTAAAATGAATGTTAATTGTTTCTGCAGAGATCGAATTACTCATTGGAGAGCCATAAGTGTTCCATCTCTTTCCACTGACCACTGGTCAATATAACAGGTGCAATCCACAGGGAGAGCTTTCTTCACTAGAGAGATTTCCCTGCTTCAGTTCAGAAAAATCTACAATCCGTATAAAAAAGTGAGGGCCCACAACAAAAAAGTAGTGTATCCCCAGCCCATAATTGCTCATCTTCTAGCAAGCTTATAGCACTAGCGCACAGAGGAGAGGTTTCAGGAAGTGGGAAAGGAAGAGGTTGTAGCTCCCCCCTCCTTTCTCACTCTTCCAAAAACTTCAACCACTTGTGCTGTAACAGCACCAAACAGCTTTATTGTTATGTATTTGGGGGAGGAGTCATGTTGTTTCCCTAACAACCTCCTTGTAAAATGCAGGGAGGGGAGTTGTACAATCTCATCATAAGCAGCCCCTTTGAGCCCTAGTATTCCTCAATCATTTTTAAACTAGGGGAGGAGTAAGAACACAGCATTTCACAGACTGTTCAGTCCTTGCTCTCTTATAAGCAGTATATTTTAGTTATTTGAAAATGCCACTAGATGTCACTACAGACCTTTACATTAACCATCACTTAAAAGGTCCTGGTGTTTTGAAATACCTTTCTTTTTGTGTATGTGTCCCGGTGGAGGAGGGGGAGCGGCAAACATAATTAGCTAATGTTGTTAACCCAATAAATCATGCTAATGTTGTTAATCAAAGAAATTGTGCCATGCCATGTTAATCAGTGGCTCCAGTATATGCTGCATAGATAGCCACAAATCTTTACTGCACCATGACACAGCAATAATCAGATGATCTTTTATATATGAGAGGGATAGAGAGGCAGGCAGGCGGGAGATGTTTTCTTGTTCTTAATGCCTCTATTGTTTGACAAATGGAGACTGATACTAACGTCTGGAAGGAACTGCCAACCTTCCTGACCTTGGAGTCATCTCTCCAGGGATGTGACCAGTGCTTGTCATTATCTTGTATGCAGAGTGCTCTGAACAGGCTGGATACAAACTGTAAGCTGGAATGGTGCCATTAATTTCCATCTGAAGATGCAGTTACCCAACCTCCTCCTCCCTGGCAATCCCTCCTGTGTTAGCATCGGGGCATCTCTTCCCTGAGAGCATCTGTAACAGCACAGGGCTTTCTTCTTTACCTTTTTCGGGAGGGATGCTCTGAGCACATCCAGCCCTGCACTTCTAAATTGCACCTGAACAAGGACTGACTCATCTTCTTTCCTTCCCTGCCCTCCCTCTTCCCAGACACAGCATTTGCTCTGCAGCAGGCCCTCCACCAGTCTGTCTTCATGCCTTCCCTTTCTGCAAACCCTACCCACCGCCTCCATCTCTGCTGGGAGCAACACTGCAAGCTGCTGCCGGAGGTCTCTGGCCTCACCGCCAAGAATGTGGCCAAATGGAGTGTTGAAGAGGTGAGTTGTGCTTCCTGATTTCCCCTCCCCCCTGTCTAATTGGAAAGCATTTTTAATACAGTGGTAGTGATTCTTTTCTTCCTCTGCTTTACAGCTGTGGCTAATTCAGAACTTTCGATCAAGACACATAGATTTGCACTGATCCTTCCTTGTGCAGCCATGCCACTTTTACCAGCTGCCCCCTTTGGGGCCTCTTTCGACAATGGCCTTTTCTGTGCTTGTCTGCTGCTGACTCACTTTACATTGCAATTGTCCTGCGCATGCTTGCATGACTGTGGCACAGAATACCCCCACAGTTTGCATGATTCCTGACAGACAGACCCATTCTGTTGAGACTATGGGTTTACAGTCAAAACTAACGTTGTGCTTTGCTGCAAGCCAATATGTTTCCCCTGCAGTCAGGGATTGAGTGACACAGCATATCTGAGCCGTGTACATTTGCACCAGTTGCCTTGGGAGTTAGCAATCGCTATACCACAGGCTGAAAGTGGCAAAGAGTGGTTTTGTTTGAGCTGATGTGAGTGGGTAGATGAAAGTCCATTTGGTTTGACGGTCACTTGGCCCTATTTTGAAAATGTATAAATTATACTTTTTTCAAGGGTTGTGCTTCATAGTAGTTGCAGTAGTTGTTCCTGTAAAATTTATTCATTTATGCTTCAAAATTTGGAGATGTTTGATATCATGAAAGACTGACACTTCAAAAGTTTGAGCCAAATGTTACTACTTCATCATTAACATGTTGTTATGATTATTATTTTGATTAATACAAATATATGAAGCTATCTTATACTGGTTTTGATATAATAATATGATTTGCCATTACATGAATGAGACTCGACTCACACATTCACCTTTCTTGCTCCCGCAAGGCCATGAGGAGGAGATATAAAGCTTTCATAGAAACATAGAATTGCAGAGTTTGAAGGGGTCCCAAGGGTCATCCAAACCAACCTCCTGCAATGCAGGAATCCTGCCCACAGTCATCCCTGGGTGGGCTCGAACCATCAAACTTCTGGTTAACAGCCAGAGGCACTGACCCATTGTGCCACATTCAGTATTATGCCATACCCTCCAGAAGCTGTTGTGCTGCACCTTTTATCGTCCCTGACTATTGGCCATGCTGTCTGGGACTGATGGCAATTTGAGTCCAATGCCTGGAGGGCACCATGTTGGTCACCCCTGGGCTTTAACTATGATTTATTAAAACAAACCAAATGAGTATGCTCTTGACTGCCATAGTTCTCCTTCCTAGGCCAGAGAGTAATTGTTGTGAATATCCCTCTCAGTCCTTTTTAGCCAAAGAGAGGCAGCTGCAGTAGAACTGTAGCTTTCATTCTGGCCTAAGCCAGAATACATCAGTCGGTCAAGCATTGCAAAAATATAGAACTCCAGATACAGATTGCTTCACAGTTACATAGTGGTCCCTATTCTGGCCTGGAGAAAGAGTGAGGTGACTGGAGCTTGAAATATTTTGATTGGGAGGAGGAGATTACTTCTTTGCATAGGGTACAGTCATAGTTAAACTGTGGAACTCACTCCTGCAGGAGGCAGTGATGGTACTTGGATGGCATTAAAAGAGGATTAGGCAGATTCATGGAGGATGAGGCTAGCAATGATGGCTATGAGCAATGATGGCTATGCTCTGCCTCCACAGTTCAAGGCAGTAATGTTTCGGAATAGCAGTTGCTGGAAGCCACAGGAGGCAAGTGTGCTCTTGGGCTCAGACCCTGCCTGCAGGTTTCCCCCAAGCATTTGGTTGGCCACTGTGAGAGTAGGATGCTAATCTAGAGAGGGCCATTGGCCTGATCCAGCAGTTTCTTGTGTTGTTATGAGGGGGAACACTTGCTTGTCCAACTTAAAGCCTCCTCGACTAGTTTGACTTCTGAAGGAGAAAAGCTATATATTCAGAATACAGCTCTTGAGACAACACTATAAAATAGTTGAGCTCTTTTTAAAATTGCTGATCAAACAATTCTTAACGATAATATTCTTTCTGCCCACCATGCTCCTTTAATCCAGTTAAACTCTGTAATTGCAGGGGGAGAAAATTAAACCCGCTATCATGCTTCATTTATTTTCTTCACCTTAAATATCCTTGAGTTTATCTGTATTTTGGAGAAGAACATCTCATTCCAATTTCAAAATCCTGGCTGTAGAACTCCTACTTAGTGGGTCTGGCTGCACAGACATTCCCTAGCCAATCATCTTCCTAGGATAGGAAGTGAAATTTATTGGTATGTGGCACTAAATTTGCTTATCACAAATGCTCTAAGCTCAGAAGGAACAGCACTGTGAAATCATTGGGGAACTGCCCAACTTGCATTTTGATCTTATGCATGTTTTCTCAGATGAAAGCCTCACTAGGTTCAATGGGGCTTTCTCCCAAGTAAGAGGCAAAGGCTGCAGTTCTGTGCTCATTAGTATTTGAATCCTGAATGTGTCATAGTGGTAGTGGAAGCAGCAGTGCTTCTGAATATCAGTTGCTGGAAACTACAGGGAGCAGAGTGCTGTGTGTTCAAATCCTGCTTACAGGTTTCCCACAGGCATCTGGTGGGAAACCTGTAAGCAGGATGCTAGACTTGATTGGCTGTTGGCCTGATCCAGCAGTCTCTTCTTGTGTTCATCGTAACATGGGCGGAACTGAACTTTGCTTATGAACTTAAAATTGGAACAAGGAACCCAAAGGGGAGGCCTCCAGCATTAAGTAGTAATACTAATGAAACCAAAGAGGACATTTTAAATTTAATTTTAGGAAATTGCTGCAGAAGTAGGAGTGTTTCTCCTTCATTGCAAAATCTCAAGGAAAGGCTCGTTCTGAATAATCTTTACCCTCTAGTGAGAACTTATCATTTGAGTGCTGATTATTTCTCAAATGCTCCTTAAAATGTTTTCTAAATGTAACTGGCTGGGAGGGTGATTTTGTATCATGTGTGACAGTTTTATCTCCCTTTTAGTTAATCCCACAGAAGAAATTAATACATGGATGGGAATCCTGTCCAAAGCTTAGCAAGGCTGGTTCCTCTTTGCAGAATTTCAAAACGACAGTGTCAAATCCTACTTCCTTTTGTGCATTTTTTTTTTTACTGCAAACAAACACAGTTTAAGGCATTTGCTGGGTGAACTGAGGATTTTTTACAATAGTGGCACCATCTGCAGTGCAATGGGATGTGTTTAACAATGTCCAAATTCCTAGGTTTCGCCTCCCCACACCTTAATGGAGCATATGATGGAAATTACCCTTAGCAGTATCCATTGGAATTTAATCTGATCTTGCCCCCTACCAGCTAGGAGCAACTTTTCATCTCTATCCCTTCTTTTCCCTACATGGGCCTCCTCCTGGGACCATTCTTTATTCTCTTGTGCATGTTGCCATTCATACAAGGAAGGCTGGGGCAACTTTTGATACAGCCCTTGAGAAGGTGCTGTAACTCAATGGCAGAGCACATGCCTTGCATGCAGAACATCCCATATTTAATCCCTGGCATTTCTAGTTTAAAATGTTCAGGTTGTAGGTGGTATGAGAGACCCCTGCAGGAGTCGCTCGAGAGTCTTCGTTAGTCACAGTAAGCTGCACTGTTCTTACTGGACAAACAGTCTGACCTGGTGTAAGGCAGCTTCCTGTGCTCAATAATCCCATATTGCTGTCATTACTGTATCAGCCGTAGTTGCAGGTTTTTACTGTCTCTTAGGGTGAGACCTGCTTTCTGCCATGGTCTAATTCTTGTAATGCCAGCATAAGGATATTCATAATAAACTAGGAAGGATCTTATGCAAAGAAACATAAGAGAGGAATTTATATTCATATCGGCAGTATACTTTTCTTATGCAAGCTGAGAGGCAAGGAGTTAGATAACCTATGGTATATAAAGGAGGAAATTGTTTCTGACAGTGTCCCTTGTAACTATTTGTCCTTTGGTATTGGTGCTAGGAATGTCACATCTGTAACAGCTCAAGGCCTGTATAATAGAGTTAATCCCTTCAGGGAACATGAGGTTACTGAAAAATTGCCGGATCAGAGCATGTTTTATTTTGGGGGGAGCTATGCAAGTTGAGAGTTGTAGTAAAATTTATACACTCCTTCCATTTTCTCCCATCTTCTGTCTCTTAGGCCCCAGACCATTGTGAAGATAGCCTGGCCTACACATGCAACAGAATGAGCCGGTAGAATACATTCTACTGTTACTCACCAAAGGTGTGTGTGTGGGGGGGTGCCACTTTTGTATCCCCCCCCCCCCATGAAAAGCTTTCAGAAAGAAAATTAGCAAAGCTGGGAGTAGATTAGGTTAAAAGCTTTGTCCTTGATTATTTTAAATATTGTCTACAGGGAGGTTTTTCCCCAATGGGGAGCACTCAAAAATGGAATCCCATGCCCCCTCAACTGCAGCTTGAAGTGGTTAAGTCCATTCAGCTACCTCAGGACCCTACCTCATTCCGCTGTATGTGTAAGGCAGGCTGATTATTCCTGGATTGATAAGGCTTCGTTGCTTCAAATTCATTATTTGTTTTTAAACTCATCCTCATGATGTTTCTCTTTGTGTTGCAGCTAATCTGCATCTATAGGTATCTGTAGTCCAATATATGTGTCCTGGCATCCTCTGCCAGAAAGCAAAGGATCCAGGAGCACATCTCTTTGACCGCAGGCTGCTTTGCTAGTGCGCACCCATGCACAATTGAGTTGGCCCTAAGTTTGTCTACCTTCAAGCTTCTCTTTCCTTAGTGCTTGCTACACATCTTGTCTGTGCTATATTACTGTGCAGATCTACGTCAAACCTTATATCAACTCCAGTGTTGTTTTTTATATAAAAAAATGGAAATAATGTAATAATTAATTCTTAGCATCTCTTGGTTAGATACAAAGAAAGAAAAATCTTAATGTTTGCAATATTTTGTTCGAATGAATGAAAAGTTGTTTTTTTTCAGACAGGACTTCTTTTATTTTCAGGTTGCTGGACGGCCCTTTAATACTTCTGTCTGTTATTTCCCACACTTCATTAGGTGGCTGGATTTGTCCAGCGTCTTCCTGGTTGCAAGGATCAGGCTGCTCTCTTCCGACAAGAGGTAATCCAGTGCTGTCTATGTAATGTGAATGGCAGGCTACATCATCTTGCTATCTGTTCCATTTGGATAATTTGTGGCACTTGGAGGGGGATATTGAAAAGAAGAAAAATCAAAACAATGCACCAAAGTTAGCCACATCAAGTTCTGAGAAAATTCTCATTCCACAAATGCTTTGTATTGTGGAAATTAAGTAGATTGGCATATTCTGGTCTTTCTACGTAATTCTGCTTTCTTACTCATTGGAGGAAGATGTGATATAGAGCAGGGCTAGCTAACTTTATGCCATTCCAAAGCTGGGGGACTATATCTCCCACCATCCCTGAACCATGGTAGCAGGGACTAATGGGAGTTGGAGTCCAACAGCATCTGGAGTCCAACAGCATGTTGGTGAGTACTGGCACCTTTCTTTCTAGAAGAAAAGCACTGCTCATTTGGCATGTAGTGGACAGCTTTCTGATCAGGCTGAAATGAAACCAAATTGAAGAAATATCCTCTCTGCGAGACTTTGGCTAAGAAAAAGATGTTGGTGACAGAATTGCTGAAATCTGCTTTAATAGTCCATTAGCAGCAGTTGAGCTGCCCAGACACACCATATTTAGGTACATAATTCTAGAGATGGTAGGCTGTTGTGCTTTTATTTTAATTTTTATTTACTAAATGGCCATAGCTGATGTGAGAACAAATTGTGCAAGCTATGTAAAAAGGTAGCCAAGTAGATTGGGTAAAGCTGCTAGCGATCTGCAGCCAGAGAATTATGCCGGTATGGGGGCCAACAGTCTGAAGAGATCTTTCTGAAACTTGAATAGCTTGGTAGTAGTTAGACCTGAAAGGAATGAAAGAATCCAAAAGCTTTCTGCATTGTTTTCTCAATATAAATCGAACTTGATCAAACATTCATTCTTTGTTTCTGAACACACACATTTTCATAGAATCATAGAATTGTGAAGTTGGAAGGGATCCCAGGGGTCATCTAGTCCAACCTCCTGCAATGCAGGAATCTCAGCTAAAGCATCCATGACAGATGGCCATCCAACCTTTGCTTAAAAACCTCCAAGGGAGGAGAGTCCACAACCCCCTGAGGGAGACCATTTCACTGTCGAAATGCTCTTAATGTCAGAAAGTTTTTCTGAATGTTTAGTCGGAATCTCCTTTCTTGTAACTTGAAGCCATTGGTTCAAGCCCCACGAGGAGGGAAAAGATGGCCGCCGAACTAGCTGCAGAGTTCTGGAGGTTATCTGAGGCAAGTTCTAAATCTGCTTTTTAAACAGGCTCGACACCGAGCCAACCTTTGAAACTCCTTTTATAATATATTTTAACTCCTCCAGAGTTTTTAAGTAGTTTAATAGTCCTTTTAGCTTGTTGCTTCTAAAAAAAAGAGCTCTTTTGTTACCTTGTTACCTTGTTATCTTGATGTCCGGAGGGTTTTGCTCCCCGCGATGCCGCGCTCCTCAAGTCTGACCGACAATAAGGAAAACGGGTGACAGCTGATTTATTGCCAACTCCGCTCTGAACTATAACGCTCTGAACTATAAGCTATCAAATTACAAATTACAAACAGCTATCCCAAATCTTGCCTCATTTTGGACCTTAGCCCATAGCTGGGTGGAGCTTCCGACTTCCTAAGAGACATAGTTTTTGAAATAGGAAGAATAACCCTGATTGGTAACAAAGATTTACAAATGGTACTTACTAGGAAGAAACGTAGGGACCTGGGGATAGTGACAAGTCCATTGTTCCAGGAGTGTTATGAGAAACAGAGTAAAATCACGCAATACTTTTTACATACAAGGGACAACGAGAATGGAAATGGAAATGGAAATGGAAATGAGCAAAAGATGGCTGAGATGGTTGAGTTGAAGCAGGATGAGGCTCTTCTTTTTCCCTCTGCTGCTCAAGATCACTCAACCTTCTCTAGAGGAATACAGGACACGGAGAATAACAACCAAAATAGAAATACAATGAGCCTGGCCCATGAAATAGTCTTGGCTGAGATATTATCTTCAGAGTTACAGGAAGAAACCCGAAACTCCCAGAAACCCCAGACTTCATCTATGGGCTCCCAGACGGAAAACAATGACTGCTATCCTCAGGACTGGCTGCTCTCTATAAATCTGGATCTGGCAGCTATGAAAAAATACTTAACAATAACAAATGGGCTGCTCCTGACATTAGTGGAAAATTATCCCCTCCAAGCTAAAGGCTCAGAACTTCATGGTGTTGATCCACAAACCACCCCTCAAGAGCCAGAATATACAAAGCAACCAGCAACCAGCAAGTGCACACAAGGATCAGCAGCGGAAAATCATCTACACCAAGGAAAGGACATAGGGCTGTATGTATCTGTCCCTAAAACTGAATTTCCTATCGAAGTAAATCAAAAGAAGCGAGGCATTAGTAAGAGATCCCATAAGAAGAAAGCTGAAACCAAAAAGAAAAGTAAGAACATAAAAACTGCAAGGAAATCTGTTACAAACCGACGTGCATGCAAAGTATGCTGGAAAAGACTATATAAGCTGATTCCAACAAAATCAAAAACAAACTCTAACAAACCTGCTATACATGGCAGCAGAGAGAACAACAGTGTGGATCCAGGAAAAAAGATCCAGCTGAAGTCTTTGAAAGAAACATCATTGCTGCCTAACAAAACAAGTGAGGAAACGGAATCACTACCCGGGTGCTCTATGCTGAAACCCCAAGGATCCATAAATATTAAAGAAGACTCACCCCATACTATTGATTATGGCAGATTTCAAGATGAGCCAGTAGCAGGGCAAGACTTGCCCCAGGATAAAGGATGGAAACTGATGTTGGCAGATAGGAAGTTAGCTTTTCTTAACTACCCGAAGCCAAAGGGCTTCCTTACACAGGAAGAACGCTCGGTGCATTTTGTGAATATTTTAGATGATATGCTGCCAGGGAAAATAAAATTAAATGACATTACCTCAGTAGATTTCATATTCTACAATGGATACTCTCTGCGAGTGATTGCCTCCTTCAAAGATCAAAACTTGGCTAAATATATATATAGATCAAGACATCTGCTGTCAAAGAAAAGGATAACGGTAACAAGATTTTTCGAAAACAGCACATGTTTGAAATTGTTTCCTGATGAGTTTACGACAGCTGAGATAAGATTTACTTGTAAACCAAAGGAGGAGAGAGGACACTCAAAAGACAAACTGGAACATACTGAGCAAGGGTCCTTGAAACTAAGACAGGAGATGAGATTGCCTAATGAGGGGATGGATAACTTCTATCCAGAAGAAAAGGCATTAATAAATCAGTTTGGATTGTTGCCTTTCTTTGCCCAATCTGAGATCTTGAGAAGATTGGAGACCCTTAGAAATAAGTTAACAGAGATGAATGCTCAGGAAAAAGTAAGAGAGAAAGAACCGGCAACGGACCAATTAAAGAAAGAGAACCTCTCTGAAAAAGCCAAGACAGACCCCATGAAAGATTACTCTTACAATACCTCTACAATTGCGGAGATAAACCTGTTAACAACAGATCTAACACAGTGCGCAAGGGATAAACTACCATCTAAGAAGGAAACCATCCTTATGGCAACCACGAAAGACTACCCTTATAATACCTCTGCAGCTGCAGAGATAAACCTGACAGCAACAGATCTAACACAGTGCGTAAGGGACAGCAACAATCTACCATCTAAGAAGGAAACCATCCCTATGACAACCACAACGCGCTCTTGGACCAGCATGAGATACCTGGATGAGGATGAACTTGGTATCAGTCAAATAGAACACCTCAAGGTAGATTCGCCAAAAAAAGGAGTACTGATCACTAATGTTAGCACGCTGCACCCTTCAACTAATTCTATTGAGTACCTGGGCGATAATACATCTATGGACATTGCCAAAATGAATGAAATCCAACCAACAGATAAAAAGATAGGCCCAAAAAATCTTTCAAAGGCAAATTGACTAAGATCAATTTTTGGCAAGACAACGTGCAACCTTGCCTTGCTAACTTGGAATATTGCAGGTTGGCAAAAGAGGGTTTCTGACCAATCCTTTGCTAAATATATCCAGAGACATGACATTGTGTTTCTCCAGGAGACCTGGAGCACAAATGAAGTGGAGTTAAATGGTTTTTTCTGCGTTCTTCCCTCCCAGGTCTTTTAAGTACTAGAGGGGGGCGAGTTAAAGGTGGGTTAGTTACTTTAATCTCAACAAGGCTAAGGGCCATATTTAAAAAACTAGACCCACTAGACCATCTGGCCACAGCTGTGCAAGTACAGTGGAGAACCCACAGCTTGCTGCTGATTAATGTATACTACCCCCACAAAGAGAGAAAAGATTGATAAGAAATACTTGGGCTCAGG